GGGAGGGGCGGCCGCGCCTCCGCCTTTGCGCCCGCCGGGGCTCTGCCGGGGACGCGGCGAGGCCTAGGCATGCGGGGCCCAGCCCGGGGCGGGAGCTCCGGGGCGGGCAGGAACTTGGAGCCGGGCCGTAGTTAGACCCACGTGCGGCCTCTGGCCCGCTTCCTCCTCCTGACTCCGACCCTTCGGTGGAAGAAAGGTTGGGGACCTAGTTCTTCCTGCCGCTGGGCCGCCGGGCGGCCAGACGTGTCGCAGGTGCACGTTCATTTCCCCAGCCGGTAGGGCCCTGAGCATGTGGTCTGGCCAGGGCGCTTCTGGGATGACTGAACTGACCGCTCCCGGGTTGAGGGCCGGGGGGGCCCTGCTGCTAGGCCGGATTGTGACGGCCAAGGAGGGGCAGTTGGTGTGCAAAAGCGAAATGCTAATAAAACCCCCAGCTCCCGCTTCAGGCCCACGTGTCCCAGTTCTGAGATCTGAGGCCTCTGGGACTGTCAATCGAACACTTTAACCACGATAAAATTTCTTAAGAAAAAAAAAAGCCACCCAAATACAGCAAGGATGTAAGCAGCAGCGGTGGAATTTCCCCCCATTTTAACTTGCAGCAGTGTGTGTGTGTGGTGGGGGAGGGGGGTGTTTGGGCGAGATACGCTGCCAGAGGCCTGATTACTATATTAGTGATTTAAAATATATGTTTGAGTTCAGGAAATGAAGACACACGCACACATATCGCCACCAGCAGCAGCAGCTCTGCCGTTTCCCATTGGATTAAGTACAATCTTCCTAGTCATTAACATATTATTTTGTTCATGCACTGCTGTACAATTTGATTCTCCACATTCAAAATATTTTCAGATCATAGCAACCAAAGGTTCACATGTCTCTCATTTTATAGCACAGCACCTTAGAGCTGGAAGGAGCTTTAGAAACTAGTTCTACCCCCTCATTTTACAGATGAGAAAATTGAGGCCTAGAAACATGTGGTTTGCCCAGGTCTCCCTGTAAAGGAAAGGAAGCACGTGGGGACTATTAGGGTTTCTGTGTCTTGGAGATCTTTACCCTACATCATGGCCATCTTTGCCCTTTCTACTTCTCTTGTGAAATGGCAGAAGGTTATTGGGGACATGGTTTTAACCCTGGAGACTTTGAAGAGGTTGCCTAATATTTCTGGATCTGCCTTTGATGGCATGGAAGAATGAGGGTTAGATTTTAAACATCTGAAAATTTTGTGACAGTAGTCAATTCTGGCATCCTGTGTCTAGCGAGAGAGGTGTCCATCATCGCACCTGTGTCCTCTGCTACTCCTGGGAACTGAAAGACCTCACTCCTAGTAACACTGCACTCGTAAGTACAGACAAATTTCATCTTTAGATGGGAGAGTATTTAGTTTGTTTTCTAATGACTTGAGCCCCCATAAGATGTTAAACTCTGTACCCTGAGGTTACAGAGGATCTCAGAGCAGTGGGAGGAACAACAACAACAAAAATACACAGGAAGATAACACAGGTGCGATAAAAGTGCTTTTAAATAAACTCAATCAGCAATGCATTGGGAGCAAATATTTACTCAATACCTACTAGGTGCCTGGCCCGCAGTATGTGCTCAGTACAGATTCCTTTTAAAAAGAATTAATTAGGGCCAAAAGAAAGGTATATACAGGGAGCTATGGGGACTTTGAAGGCAGAAGAAATTAATCTTCCCAATGGAATGTAAATAAAAATGCCTTCAGCCAGCAAGAAGGGATTTTGAGTGGAGACTAAAAAGATGAGAAGTTAAGAGGAAGAGGAGTGAAGACATTTCAAGCCAAGGGAGTTGAGATTGGTTATGGTCAGAGAATCATGCTGGCCTAAGGCATATGCAGGTTCCGTTCAAGATAATTAACCCTCAGAGCTAAGTGTCCTCATCTGCAAAATGGGATAAATGCTTACCTCCTATGACCTCCCAGAATGTTGGAAGGATATTGAACATATTTGACTTAATTGGCACTTGTGTCTGACTGGTAGATAGTTTACCGCAGTGCTTTTAAAACTTTACTGCGCACAGTAATCACCTGGGGGGATCTTGCTACAATGAAGATTCTGATTCAGTAGGTCTGAGGTGAGGCCCGAGATTCTGCATTTCTAGCAAGCTCTCAGGTATTGCTGGTAGTGTGGTCCATAGACCACACTTGGCATAGCAAGGATTTCGGAAGTCAGTGAATAAGAGCGTGAACTTTCATGTCAGAGAGTCCTGGAACAGAACTCCGTTTTCCTGATATAAGCTGTGTGTCCCTGGGGAGGTTGCTTCTCCTTTCTGAGCCTTGGTCACCCCATCAGTGACATATGGGCAATAGTAAGTCCTACCTAATACGGCTGTGTGGAAAGGGAAACAATTTAATGGAGAGACACCACTTAGTGAAGTGTCCGGCACAGCGTAGCAGCCAGTAGAGGGTAGTTGGTGTTCAAGTGTGAGAAGATGGGACTGGAAAGAGAGGGTCCCCAAATAAATGCATATAATTCTGTTAGAAAAATTATTATTATTATCCTCATTTTACAGCTGAGAAAACTGAAGCACAGAGAGGTTCAGTAGCTCACTCTGGGTCACCCAGCTGGTTAAGCAGAAGAGCTGAGATTCAAACCCAGACCATCTGACTCCAGGGCTTGCCTACCTACCTACCTTGCTTTACTGTCTCAGCTGAGAATGCTAGAAAGCTACATTAGAAAGAGGCACCGTTCCTCTTGTTAATGATTTATTCATTCAACAAACTTTGGCTGAATGCCAAGCATTGTGCTGGGGGTCAGAAACCACTCATTCATTTACCAAATCCTTATTGAGCCTTAATAAGGCTATGTTCCAGGTGCTGGCGGTGCAGCTCTGAGCAAAACCAAGTCCTTGCCCACGTGGAGCTTACATGGAAGTGGAGTGACCGAGATGTGGTTTCTGCTCTCAAGGAACACAACTGTTACATGACACAGGTTGGGACTGGATAGAAGGTTAGAATCAGAGTAGAATCTTTTAGCAACAGTTCCTGTTAGAAGAGGGCTTTCCTATATTGAACTGCTGTGAAACACACAATGGTCTTTTTGTGGTATTTCCCTTTACCTTCCAACGACTTGTTTATTCAGCCACATTTTTGAGAAGTTAATGTGTGCTAGATGACATGCTTGCCACCGGGAATAAAAAAGAGGAATCAGACATGACAGCTAGCTGCCCTGGGGGCTCCCGTGGTTTAGCAAGGAGTCAGATACCCACAGCCGTCTTTACAAGGCAGGGTGACAAGTGACACAATGGCTGAGAGGTTATGGGCTGCGGAGGCTGTAATATGTAGTCGTCTAATTTGGTCCCCCCAGCTTTTAAAAAAAGTATCTATTTTAGTGGGGGGAGGTAATTGGGTTTATTTATTTTATTCTTAGAGGAGGTACTGGGGATTGAACCCTGAACTTCATGCATGCTAAGCATGCACTCTACCGCTTGAGCTATGCCCACTCCCCCTGGTTCCACAAGTCTTTTAAAGTAGATTGTGAAAGGGATTACTGTGAGGTGTTGCAGATGAGTAAACTGAGGCTGTGGGAGGCAAGATGGCCTGCTCAAGGTTATCAGCCAGCAAATGGAAATGCTGGGACACACATCCATCAGGCCTGACCCCCAGGCCTTCCACCCTACACACAGCTAAACACTCTGTGCAGTATTAATGAGATTTTTTTTTTAAACACCTTACCAGGCAGGAAACTGATTTCTTTTAGGCATAGGCCCAATCAACCTTGTGTCTGTGGACACCCCAGGTGTGACACACCCTAGGAAAGCCCCGGTCCTCTACCGATCCCTCCAGTCCTGGGTCTGGTGTTCCCCTGACCTAGGTGGGGTTCATCATGGTTACATTTCCAATTTTGGAAGCCACCTTGCCCAAGGTGACTGCGTCTTCCAGAGAAATTGCACCTCCTCCACCAATTCCCCTCCGGCCTCCTCCTCTGGCAGAGCCTCCCCCTCCCACCTGGATACTTGGTTCTCATTCACTCCCCCTCGCCCAGTGCACACTGCCGGCGTGTGTGCCACCAAAATCTGACACCTCACAGTTAACGTTAATTGTGGCTGGCTTCATCCATGCTTGCGTCTATTTTCCCAGGCCCTCCTGTGTAATTCAAGTCCCAGAATAGCCCACCTCATGATATATTCTGAGATAAGCTTCCTAAGGCTGACTTTTTTTTTTTCCTCCGTGGCAATTTGTGTCATGAGCACCTGTTGTAAAACTTCGGGGGCTTTCTCACGCCTCTGTGAAATTCGTGCTTGCTGTCTGTTCCCGGAGAGGATCAGAAAGAAAGAGGTGGTGGTGATATAGCTGGTGCCGTGGGGAGGAAGGGTGTAGCCCCTGGGACTGCACAGTTTCACCTGTGACCGGCTCTACTGGCCTGGAGAAATGAACACACCGAGGCCTTTCCCCGAAAGTTCAGGGCAAATCTCAGGATTCCATCCGCTCGTTCAGAGTGATTTATTGAGCACCAATTAGGAACTAGGCAAGTGCCTGTCCTCCCCGACCTTCCAGACTTCCAGGAGTTGGTTGTATCCGCAACCTTGGGAGCACATAGGCTCTTCTCCCAACCATGCTGCAGCTGCCCCCGCTTCCCAACACCCCAGGTGCCCGGCTTCTCTGCACCTCCCTGCCGCTACTTCCCAGCCTCCTTGGTCCATCCCTTCAACACTGGTGTCCCTCGGGGCTTGGCCTTTAGCCCTCACGTGCTCTGTGAGCACTCCCACCTCCCTATGGCTCAAATGACTCTCACACTCCTCTCTCAACTCCAGAACTTTCTCCTCTGCTCCATACCAGTTGATCAGACTGCCTGCTGGTCATCTCTGCTCAGACGTCCCATAGGCACCTTCCAAGGCAACGTGTCTCAAAGGAACCCCTCGTCCGTGTCTTCTCTACCTGCTCACACTACTGTTCCTTCTGGG